TGACTGTGCGTGTAGTCTTACTGTATGAATGGCTGTGCTGACTGTGCGTGTAGTCTTACTGTATGAATGGCTGTGCTGACTGTGCGTGTAGTCTTACTGTATGAATGGCTGTGCTGACTGTGAGATGCCATGCTGGCTTCATGAGACAATGTGCTAATAGTGTGAGGTGCTGTGATAACTGTGAGATGCTGAGTTTCATGTGTGAGACATTGTGATGACTGGGGAGAAACAGTGTATTGACTGTGTGAGGCACTGTGTTGACTGTGTGAGACACTGATGATTGTAAGATGTTCTGATGACTGCATAAAACATTGTGCTGACTGAGACACTGCTGATTTTAAGATGCTCTGATGACTGTGTAAAACACTGTGCTGATTGTGAAACTGTGCTGACAATGTGAGACTGTGTTCTGATTGTTAGACACTGTGCTGACTGTGAAACACTGTGCTGAACGTGAGATGCTCTGAAGACTGTGAAACACTGTGCTGACTGTATGAGACCCTGTGCTGATTGTGAGATGCTCTGGTGAATGTGAGGCACTGTGCTGACTGTGTGAAACACTGAGTGGAATGAGAGATGCTCTGAAGACTGTGAAACGCTGTGCTGACTGTGTGAGACACTGTGCTGATTGCGAGATACTCTGGAGGATGGAAAGAATGCTAGGGGCTTAGCTAAGCCATGGGCAGATATTCATGTATCTATGGTGATAACTTCAGGGAATTGCACTGCTGAGGAGCTGGCCTTGCGACTGAAAGGTGCCATTCTGCTTTGGTAAATTACCGGTATATGTGAATGGGGAAAAAATGCACATATAAATGGATATATGAATGCCTGAAAGGTGTATAACTCACTAAGTTAAAAAGATAAAAATAAAAAATAAAGCAAATAGAGCAATAAAAAAGAAAGGGTGTGTGTAAGAATGTGTGATTGCATGTGTTATGCAAGGAGAAGGGGCGTGTGTGTCATGGGTGTGTGGCAGGAACAGGGTGTGTCCTCCCAGTTACAGGTGGATGAAAAGGGCCATTGATTTGGAGCTGGGGGCTGCGGTGTGAGGTGCCCCATCAGCATGGCAGCACTAGCACTGCCCGCCCATCCGGCCCAGAAGCGGGTGCCTTAAACTCCTCATGTGGCTGCACCCCCACTGTCTGCTACAGCTACAAGCTGAGGCCCTTTCTAGGACCCTGTGCCTGATGCCCTGCACTCACTGTGGGAAATGCTGCACTCACTGTGCAGCTGACATTGAGCTTTCTGTGGAAGATGAAGCTCTGACATATGAGCCTGTGCTGACTGTGTAAACCCCTGCTGACTGTCTGAGCCTCTGTTGTTTGAGACCCTGTGTTGGCTGTATAGGACACTGTGCTGCCTGTTTGAGATGATGTTTTGACCGTGTGAGCTTGTGTTTGGTATGTGAGACACTGCACTGACTGTGTGAAATGCTGTTCCCTATGAGGCAATGTGTGGAGGGTGGACACTGTTCTGTGCTGACTGTTTGAGAAGCTGTGCTGTGTGACAATTCGCTGTTGTGTCACTATGCTGGCTGTGTGAAGTGCTGTGAAGGATAATTACTTAAGTCGGCTACATATTCATAAGTTCAGAGCACCAGACTACTGCCAATACTGCTCCAAATGTTCCACTGTTTCCAGACACTTACTACACACAACTACACTTAAATATCTGCAATAACACTTTGGATAAATTACCATTGGTGGGCTCCTGTACAGAATCTTGCTATAGTGATACAGCTAAGGACTTCTTGTGTGTGCACAGGCAAGAGAGTGTTTGCATGGTCCAGGAAGAAAGGCCTGTCCTTGCACAGATCACTTTCCTTTTCAATACCTAATTTTGCCTTCATGCAAAAATCTTATAATCACTCTGGCTGTGCCGTTTAGCAGGTAAGCTATGCAAATGGGAATTGCGCCTTCCCTGCTGTCCTGCTTAGCATCTGCTAGTGCTAGATGGGCAGGAGGGGCTGCATTGAGGAGCTGAGCTGCAGGGGCCTCAGTTTGCACAGGTTGTGTCCTGGGGAGTAGAAGAGAAGGACTCACGCACACTAATATTTCTGCAGTGTCTGTTTTGGGAGCAACATGGCACTTTCAGGTACTGCGGTCCTTAATACAGGCACTAGCTGCGTGAAAGCCCAAGCGTGAGGAATTGCGTTTAAGCTGTCAGATCTGTAAGCTTGGAAACAGTGTCTATTTAACAGTGTCTTTTTGTGCTCCTCATCTTATCACCTCTGTTATTTATTCATTTCTTTGTTTGGCGTTTTCCATTCTGGCCCGCTAATTCGCCTCTCTCTCTGTGCAAATGAGTAGCTCTGTCCTCTCCACTGTGTTTGGCAAATGCAAACTGTGAGTAATGTGTGTTTGAGGGTTTTTTATATATAATGTCAGTGTGCTTCTTGGTTTCATTCTATGTAAAAGACTGATATGGCGATTCTAGCTGAGTCTTAGTTGAGAGAAGGCTGTGACTGAGCCTCATTGTGCTAACGTTTGTTCGGAATGAGGTGCCGATCCTTCCAGTGTCTGATATAAAGAAGTCTGTTTGGAATGAGGTGCTAATACTTCCTGTATATCATATAAAGCCATGTGTTTGGAATGAGGTTCTGATTCATCCTGTATATTATATAGACATCTGTTTGGAATGAGGTTCTGATCCATCCTGTGTATGATGTAAAGACGTGTTTGGAATGCTAAGAAGGCAATTAACCTTACTGTTGATAAGGTACCAATATCTACTCAGAATGAGGTGATAATGCAGCCTTGTAATTCTCAATTCTCAAAGAATTTCCCCATTGTGGGATTAATAAAGTCTAATCTAATCTAATCGAATCTAAATTGAAGCCTTTGTAATAAAGAAGCCTGGTGCTGGATGGGTATAGTTGCCAAAGACATGCTTTCGTGCAGCTGGTTATTCTGAGATGCCGAGAATGATACTGACACCAAATGTGTGTGACTGAAGAGCACACCGCACAAGAGTCCCAGAAAAGACTCATCCGTGACTGGCGACACTGTGACTCTGGCATGACTCCTAAAACCTGTGTCAGTCATGGGGTGTTGTAGTGTAAACAAAGCCTCACCTTTCTTCCTGCTTTGTGAGGAAGATAAGTATGTTTGTAAACATGCCACAGTAGATAGGCGCTGCTGAACTGGTCTTCCAGTTGCATTTCAGATGCAGTGTGTGTCGAAATTAAAGATGAAATAAGGTCTAAGTACTAATATCGACGCATTTGATTTGGCGTTACAGTTTAATAAGTGTTTTGACTTCGATGTTTATTTTAATGTTGATTTTACAAAAGGGACATGAATGTCATATGCCTGTACAGATGAAAAGCATGTTGACTTTGTATACACACACATGCACACACACACCACACACATTTGTATTCATATCTTTGTGAGGACCATCCATTCATTTCCGTGGGAAAAACCCTAATCCCAACAAATATACCAAACCCACACACACACACACACACACACACACACATAAACAAATTCCATATTCCATTCCAGTTAAAAAGAAGCACAATAACATGCATTCACTTTTTGTGCTTTGGGGCCATTTCACATTTCTCTGTCCTAGCAAAACCTCGTCCAGCAGAAGTCAAAAACATCCAAAAAGTAACTTTGAAGCCGTTTGAACCATCTGCCGCCCGGGCCACTTTCATCGCGGTGGGCCCTGCGGACGGGCTTCCAGTAACGCCATGCATTAATAAGGCAGGAGGCGATCAGCTTTCACAGACACCTGCGCTTGTGTTTCACCTTCCAGGAGCCGAGGTGGGAGGTAGGGCAGGAAATGGGGAAGTATCACAATTTCCTTTTCTAAGGGGGGGGGGGTAGAATGGAAGCAAAAGAGCGATAGAGCAAAGAAGCAGGGAGAACTTGGAGGAGAGGCAGGGGTTGGATAGAGTTTCAGCCTGCAACAAAGGGATGAATGAGATAGGTGACTAAAATGTGGATGTGTGGGTAGTGACCAGTACAGAAGGTAGTAGATTGAGGTGAAGAAGCAGACTCAGTGGGACTGAGAGAGTGGCAAAGGGATCTTAAAGGTAGACCTACAGTTACTGAGTCAATCAATATTCACTTCCTGGATATATCTTTGTATATCTGCGCTCTGTGGCCACTGTATTAGTACCAAGTGGGACCCACTTTGGCCTCCAGAACCTCTTCAAAGGTGGATGAGTTTTATCTTCAGAAAAACCATTCTGTACACCATTGATGTAATGAGCTCTTATTTTTGCACTTGTGGCCTTCCTGTTAGCTGTTCCAACAGCAATTACACACTCTCTCTCTTTCCTAATCCAGTCCTCGGGACCCACAGACAGTCCACATTTTTTCTCCCAGTAAGGAGCAAAGAGGGAGCAAAAATGTGGACTGTCAGGTAGGGAGCAAAGAGGGAGCAAAAATGTGGACTGTCAGGTAGGGAGCAAAGAGGGAGCAAAAATGTGGACTGTCTGGTAGGGAGCAAAGAGGGAGCAAAAATATGGACTGTCAGGTAGGGAGCAAAGAGGGAGCAAAAATGTGGACTGTCTGGTAGGGAGCAAAGAGGGAGCAAAAATATGGACTGTCTGGTAGGGAGCAAAGAGGG